AATATATTTTAAATTTTCAATACATTATATCGGTATACAATTCCAAAACACGTCTTTACAAAACGTCATCCTATACAGTAGATTTCAATTTTTTTACTATTCGTAACTTTCACGCCTATGTTGTCCATTACAATAACACTGTAAGTCCAAAATTTTGGGTTTATTTTGATCATGGTATTCAATATTTAAACAGATATCGATATTATTGAGTTAGACCATAATGATATAGAGGCATGCAGCCTTGAGGTCATTGGTATATAAAAATAATGATACTACCATATTGAATGGTGTTTCTTCGAGGCATATTTTGGAGTTGTACACTTCCACAATACATTGAAAACTTAAAATATATAAATGCTGATATCTAAAAGAATATATACAAGAATACTTTCCCCGAAAAATGTTGACCCTAGTATTATGAAAATGGACTTAAGTTCCAATATATTGAATTTTTATATACTCCAAGGGGTCTATTAAATCCCAATGTCAAATTTAGGTTTTATCTCTGGAAAAAAAGAGAAAATACTATAAATATTGCCAAAAATCGCCATTTTAATGATATTACATAAAAAGAGGGTACGAATCCCCAAAAATTGTGGACCAAGTGAGCCAAAAAATATAGCATTTCGGTTGATAGTAACCCCTTAAAACAATTTAAAGCGTAAAAACCATTCGATTCTAAAATTTGTGTTTCGTATAATATGCTCAAATATGAAATAAAGGAAAAATTCGTATACTTTTGTGAGGCAATTTTACGGACTTTTTTAAAAAAAGCTAATTTAATTTAAGTAAATGTAAATTTTTCAAGTTTTAAAAAGCGTGATATCAAACCTAAGGACACACTAAATATATTATTAATTTTGGTTTCTTTTCATAGTTTACCTAAATTCGAATACTTATGGGTGACACTGTATATAAATCGTTATACGAAATTTTACTTCTGAAAATCACTTAATTACAAAACTATATATATATATATATATATATATATATATATATATATATATATATATATATATATATAATATTTGTGCCACATTTTCTATCAATAGCTTTATTTTGTAATGAGTAATGTGCGTTAAGAGATTTTCGTAAAAGGACCTTGTATGTGAGCTATGACCAATTATGTATATAAAGACAAAATTTCAAAATTCTGTATCTATCATTTAAGTGATTTTCTGGAGGGGACCTAGTATGAGAGCTATGACGAAATATGGACCGATCGTAAAACAATTTTATAGTTTAATTTATGTATATAAGACCAATATTTTTGCTAAATGTATGGATATCAATTTTTGGTAATGAGTTATGTGCGTTTAAGTGATTTTCGGGAGGAAACCTTGTAGGGGAGCTATGACCAAGGATGGACCGATCGTGAAAAAATTTTGAAATAACGTTTATGTGTACAAAAATAGTATTAATGCCAAATATTTTATGGGTAATGAGTTATGTGCCTTTAAGTGCTTTTCTGAAAGGAACCTTGTATGGGAGCTATGATAAATTATTGACCGATAGGAAAACAATTTCACAGTAATATTTCTGTGCACATAAGAATTACTTGTACCAAATTTTATATGGATATCTTAATTTAGTAATGAGTTATGCGCGTTTAAGTGATTTTCGGGAGGGGACCTTATATGGGATCTATGACCAATTATGGACCGACCCAAAAAAAACTTTCATAGTAATATTTCTATATATAAGAGCAATACTTGTACCAAATTATATATGGAAGTTATTAACAAAAAAACCATTTTCCGGGAATATGTACTTTTGTATGGGAGGTATATGAAATTGTGGACCGATTCTGGCAATTTTTAGCAGGGATCAAGCTCTTGTGTCGAAACGAATGTGTGGTAATTTTCATGGAATTATCTTGCATAGTTTTCGAGAAAATTACATCATAATGTGTAAAAAATGTTTATTTTTTTCGAGCTTGTTTTAAATTTTGATTCATAACTTTTCCCGATGTGAACCTCATTTCAATACCAAACAACTTAGGAAAATGAGGAACATTTTGGATGAATTTGACTAAATTCTATTGCTTCGTTTTATCGTGAGCGTGTTTTACACAGACAGACGGACATAGCTAAATCGACTCAGAATTGGATAAGGACCCAGAATATATATACTTTGTTGGGACTCAGATGAATATTTCTTGGTGTGACACACGGAATGACAAAGTTATATATATCCTCTATCACCACTGATGGTGGTGGAGGGTATACAAATTGTGTAATATTCAATTTCTGCGGCTTTTCATACAAATTATCATATTTTTTTGTAATTAATTCTCTTAAATGGAAAGTATTTTGTTGTCTGCGTAGTATTTTGCAAGAAAATAATAAACCATTCCTCGATCGAAATTCATCATACCTTTTCAAATCGATTGATTTCAAATCGTTCGAATTCCATCACATACCGAAATATTTATTTTATTTCGGCACAGATTCGTTCTAGTAACCGAATTTGTTTCCAATCGAATTTAGTCGGTTCTAACAACTACTACATAATTCTATTGAAGTAACTGAAAAATTCGATTGGAATTTCCGAATACATGAAACTCAGAATTATTTGAAAAAATAATTTAAATAATTGAAACTATTAGTATTTACAACTGAAATTTTAATTATTATGCATTTATTTGTGGATTTTATTTATAAACAATAAAATTTTATAGAATATGTAAAAATGCTTTTAGATACAAAATTTTTAAATACTATTCGCATCTCACTTAGGGGAAAATTATGTACATGATTGAGCTTTGGTTGGAGCGACTTTCCTTTGAGTTTTTTGTGAAACATTCTACGTTAAACGGTTTGCATTTCTTGTAGATTTGGATTTGCAAACGCAATGAAATTTCTTAAAAGCAACTACAAAATTATATTGAATATTACCTTTTTCTAATTACATTTGAATGCAAAATTTAATTCGGTTGTATTTACCGAATTAATAAAAAGAATTGTATGAAAGATTTAATTGGTTAATATAACTAATTTGGAAATTGTTAAAACCATAATTTGATTACATCAATTTTAGTTAACTTTACTAAATATTTATAATGGAAACCGATTTTCTATCGATCTTTTTTCTGTGTGTAAAATTTATTTTTTAAATGATATCTAGAAGGTTTTGTATTTCAAGCTTTCTACAAATCTGAGTGATAACAATATATTAAGAATCTAGTTCTTTTAGTTTTCCAGATAAACGAATATTTGTATTTAATTCATATGGGAGGTTCCGCTCCCCCATTTGTAGTCCGCCAATTTATTACAAAAAATGTTTACAATTTATTACAAAAAATGTTTAAAGTTCATCGTGCAAAATTTGAAGATTCTAACTCCCATAGTTTTCAAGATAAACGAATTTTTTTTTAAATTAGTTTTTATTTTATTCATATTTGAGGTGCCACGCCCCCTCTTGCTGGCGGACAACACTTTTTGTCTTAAATAATCATATTGGCAATAAAGTGGCTCCGACAAAATTTGAGCAATCTAACTGTTATATTTTCTCAGATATACTGATTTAATATTTTCTTAATATGGAAGGTGCCATGCCCATTATAGCCCATTTTGTCCAAGAATATTCTTATGGATGTCAAAGTTGTTCGTAAAAAATTTTAGAACTCTAGCTGTTGCAGTTTCTGAGATATGTATGCGACTTTTAATACTTATTTTGTATGTGGGCGTGGCTCCTCGTCCAATTGAAATATTGAAATAAAAAGTATCGGTCCAGCCGTTTAGCTGTCTATAAAGTCTAAACAAACGAACATACAAACACACATTAATTTTTATATATATAGATAACACTTCATGGTTTATAACACTTTATGGTTTCATTCTAGTATAAATCAATTTTTTTAGTTTAACTAAAATATTAACAAAATTATTACAAAACATGTACTTGTTTCTTACGCTTGCATTGTTAATAACGGTTTGTATGTTGTTGTTTATATTATTTTGCAATGTTTTAGTTGCGTACATAAGTGTCTATAAATTCAAATAAAATTCCATCTAGATTGAATTTTGAAAAACGGAAAAAAAACCGTCTCGGTAAATTTTATTGATGATTATTATATAATTTCAACAAATTATATTAAATTCATCTGTGTTAAAATGTAAAAATTCGAAAATATTCTGAAAAACTAGAAAATTTCGATTACTTTTGCTGTTACACAAAAATTGATATGTCATTGAAAGCGTCTCTCAAGGACCTTTCTTATGATACCAAAATATCTTTTCTTTAGAAGAAATATGAAATAATCATAAAAAACCTCAACCTTTTTATCCTTTGATCCAACTCACCAAATATTGACTCCAGGACAAACATTTTGAGAAACGGTATCTTAGAATCAATTAAACTTTAATTTTAGTTGGGAACATTGACCCATTATTTTATCTCCATATAAACGAGGCCTCCCTAATGTATATACATATTTTTACCTTTACCTTATTAAGATTGTTATATACTTATATAATATAATCCAAACAAACAAGTAAAATTGTGTGTCAAAATTTTATGTAGAAGAGAACGGATGGGATCGTTTAAACGCAATATCATCACACATTGAGAGAAAATACGGATGGAAAATTTGACAGTCGTATGGCTCTCTTCATTTTTTAAAATGATTCAAAAAACAAGCAAGTCATTCTCTCTTACAAAATTCTCTTCTACACAAAATTTTGACAGATCATATTACTTGTGTGTTCGCGTGAAGGGGACTTTAACTTGACTAATGTTGGCAACACTCATACTTAACGTTAAATTTGGCAACAGTGCTGCTTATTACAGAAATCGTCACTGGTAATAACAATGAAATAACGGTTATTTTTGTTGGTAACTCCTAACAGCAGTGTATATGTATGTACTACGCATGCCCAAAACGAGTGTCACATGTTCTCACAAATTTCCATACAAAAGGGGGTAACTTTTATTAGCAAATAGAGCATAATATAATCACACATTTATACACATATGTATAACACTGGTAATTGCCAAGAGATTTAGAGAGCATTTTAACATACAGAAAAGGAAAGAAAAAAAAAACGAATTACACAGTTGTAATACTACTTGTTGTTGTTGTGGTGTTTGTATTATTATTAACAAAAAATATACAAATAAAGAAATAAAATATTTATAATATTTGATTTAGTTATAAAAATCTCTATTTAATAAAAATATTTACTAAAATAGGAAAAATCACAATAGAAACGGAATTGGCAGGAAGAAAGTTTAGTTGAAATGCTTTTTTTACATCTACAATAAAACGTAACAAATGTTAAAGGCCTTCAACGTTAGTAAAAAGTAAAAATAAAAAAAAAAAAAAAAAAATGAAACGAAGGACGTCAGTTGTACAGCTGAAAACGTAAGTGTGTGTGTGTGTGTGTGTTTACATAAAGTCGATTTTTTTGACAAAACTTGAGTATGTATGTGTAAAGAAAAAGTTTAATAAACGTTCTTTGAAAATAATTTAACAACACCAAAAATAAAAAAATAAAATAATATAATAATAATAAATTTAACTATAACAAATTGTTAAAAATCGACAAAATATTGCTAGTATTCAGTATCAATCAACAAAAACCTTTACAATTCATAAACAACACAGAAAGTTGCTACAAACAAAACAAAAATATAAAAAATAAAAAATTTCTTACAAATTAAATAAAAAAATCAAAGTTATTACAGTTATTAGTTATTACAAATGTTTTTGGAAATATAAGAAAAAACAGAAAACATAAACTTCAAGTTTTTAACAGATTTTCAGACACAAATTTTGCATTGCAATGTAACCGATTAAATATTAAAAAAACTCCATAATGGTTTTAACAATACGTCTGTATAATTATTTTACAAACCGACAGAGTTAGAAAGTGGCGTGTCCATTAGGGTGGTCCCAAATAAAATATTCCTAAGATTTTTAAGATTTTGTAGCGCTTAATTTTTATTTTTCTCGCACGATACCGTTATTGTTAGTCCATAATTACTCAATCTTTTTCAATTTTAGGCTTCCATAATGTTTACATAAAATAATTTAAGGAAACCAATTGGAATTCAGATAGCCTTTTTATTATTGAAATTCAATCGTAGTTTCATTCTGTTTATTAGCAGAATATCTTGTTAAGAAATATTCTTCTATAAAAAAAATAAAACTGACAGCAAAACCCAAAAGAGATAATAATAATGGTAAATATTTTGATAAAATATATGTATTTCATATCATAAAGAATTAATCGCTGTATACCATTGGAAAGCAAATGACTTATTTTCATCTCCATATTATATACGACTTCAACTAGATTGGGAAAGAAATACAAATGAGATAAAATTTCGTAAAACATAAGTAAATCTTACAAAATTGAAGAAAAATAAATTTTTTCTTAACCTACCTCAAAATTTCAGAGACAGCATTGATAAAGAATTTCATGAATGTGGAAAAAACTGTAAAATTGGTCTTTCAACCAAACCAAACTTTCATTTTACATATATATTTCTTAAAAAGAAAAAACGGGGCCACCCTAGTATCCATAGATTTATGTGTGACTTATAAAAGTTTGGAAGTTTATAAAATTTTGTCATTCCGTAAGTAACATATTGATAGTAGTTGAAATTTTTGCTCCATTTATGTTTGCTTAGAGCTTATAAAAAGAGCCATAAAAATATGCGTGTGTGTTGAATAGTTTTAAAAGGTGGGGGTATATTAAATTCGTCATATCGTTTATAACATATCACAAGTGTGATAAAACTTTAAAAGATTACTTACTTATAATTGTAATTGAAGTTTTGTCAATTACAGCTACAATTGTTTGTAATACAATAATACGATACTAATACAATACCATTTGACATGAAAAAGTTTTATGATCAGATCGGTCCCTAATTGACCCTACGCCCTATATATCGTCCACTTCAGAATATTACTTTAACGCTCATCACTGGCTTTAAAATAAGCCAGTTTTATACGAATTAAAATTCATCTACCAAATTTAATAAGAATCGGTCCATAATTGGACCTACCCCCAATAAAAGCCACTTCAGAAAATGACTTAAACGCTTATTACTTTCTTAAAAATACGAGTATAGCGATAATATTAGACATAAAGAAGTTCTGTACACACCAAACTCTATGTACAAAAACTATGACAATCGGTCCATAATTGACCATAAAAAATTCCTTTGAGAAATAACTTTAACGCTTTCAACACAAATATGTTTAATAATACGAACCGAAATAACATTCTGTTTTGTATTATTTTATAAAAAAAAAACATAATTTTTATAAAAAGAAAAATAAATTAAATATTTATATTTGGCGAATAGCAAGCACTTAATTTTGACTAGTTGGAATACCTGGAACCCTGTACCAGCGATGTTACGTTAACATATATTTTAAATATTCTGGAAAAAGTACATACTGTTTCGAAACATAAAAGGAAATAAATTTAACAGAAACAAGTAAGAAAATATAGTCGGTCATGCCCGATCATATGATACCCTGCACCAATATATTTAAAAGGTTTTATACGATTTTATTGTTTATCATGATGTCCGATTTTACCTCAATTCCTATATATATATATATATATATATATATATATATATATATATATATATATATATATATATATATATATATATATATATATATAAATGAAAGGGCTTTATAGACTGCTAAACGGCTGGACCGATTTTCCTGAAATTTTCACAGTTTCTTCCTGTATGTCTGGAAGGAACTATAGGCGACTTTTTATGTTGAAGTTTCATGTGGGCGACGTGCCACGCCCATATTAAGAAAATATTAAATTAGTATATCTGAGATAATAGCAGCATTTTTTAAACAATTGGATTTATTAAATCCAAAATTTAGTTCTCCCTCTGTACGCCAGGTGGATAAAGCAAAAGGTTTTAATCGAGGCTAAACAAATTTCAAATCACAATGTCAGCAGCGGCCGACAGATGGAGTTATTTCAAAATTTAATATTAAATTTGTAAATTTTTCATAAAATTTGTAACAATTTGTTGCAAAAATTGGTATTTGCACTGAAATATCATGTTTGAAATATTTAAGTTACATGAATTTTGTTTATTTTCCTATTTTTATACATTTTAAAAAATATTTGCCATCTATTGGTGAATAGCAAAATAAAACAAATTAAATCATTTTTAAATTATTTTGGTTTTATTCTATGAATACAAAGCATTGCCATATTGAAATTAGCTAAATCCAACTATTTTTTTGGATTTAATAAATCCAATTTGGATTTACTTCTTTTAGCTGCAGAACCGCCATTGTTGCACTAAAATTAATTTTTCTTTGACCTTCTATTAGCATATACAGTGTATTTTCAGATTATGATGACCAAAACTAAATTTCAGCCTCCAAAGATAGTTTTTTTCTTGAAATAAAATAAATCCAAAATAAATCCAGTGATTAAAAAAAGCCCCTAATATAATAGTTAGAGTCTTCAAATTTTGTCGGAGCAACTTTAGTACCAATATAATTATTTAAGACAAAAAGTGGGCGGATTAGCATTGGGGGGCGTGGCACCTCCCATATAAATTAAATACAAAAATTCGTTTATCTTGGAAACTATTATAGTTAGAATATTAGAAATTTGCACGAGTAACTTTAACATCCATGTAAGCATTTTGGGAAATAAATTGGCGGACTACCCATGAGGGGAGCAGCACCTCCCATATTAATAAAATACAAAAATTGGTTTATCTGGGAAACTAATAGAACTAAATTCTTCAAATTTTGCACTAAGAACTTAAATATTCATCTGAACATTTTGGAGAAAAAAGAGCGGACTTTCGTCATGGGGGGCTTGGAGCCCCCATATAAATTAAATAGGAAAATTATTATATCTGAGAAACTATTAGAGCTAGAATCTTCAAATTTTAATTGAAGAACTTTGATATTCATGTGAACATTCAGAGAATAACGGGCGGACTTTCAATGGGGGGTTTGGCACCTCACATATGAATTAAATACAAAATTTCGCTTATCTGGGAAACTAATAGAACAAGATTCTTCAAATATTGCAAGAAGAACTTTATTATACATATGGCGGGTTTGGCACCTCACATATGAATTAAATACAAAATTTCGCTTATCTGGGAAACTAATAGAACAAGATTCTTCAAATATTGCAAGAAGAACTTTATTATACATATGAACATTTTGGAAAAAAAGGGCGGACTTTCATCTGGGGGCTGTGAGTTCCCATATGAATTAAATAGAAAAATTCGTATATCTGAGAAACTATTAGAGCTAGAATCTTCAAATTCTACATGAAGATCTTTGACATTAATGTGAACATTTAGAGAATAACGGGCGGACTTTCAATGGGATCTTGGCACCCCCTATATGAATTAAATACAAAATTTCGTATATCTGGGAAAATATTACATTTTTTTTAATTTGTCGTCGATTACATTAAAATCTTAATTAACGTTCGGAAAAAATGCATCTCTGGAAAACATTACAGTTAGAATCTTCAAAATTGTTAAGAAGATTTTCTATTTATTTTGCTTTTAGGGAGCGTTAAAGTAATTTTTTGATGGGAACCTTATATTGGGGGGTAGGGTCAACTATGGGTCGAACTATAATTTAATAACATTTAATTGAGTTAAATGTTATTAATAAATCTTTTAGTTAAAAACATACACATATATAACTACATTGTTAGACGCAGGCACAAACTATATGCTCTATTGGCAAATTTTAGAGTAAAAAAGTAAATATTTATAGTTAGGCAAAACTCCGGCAAGAAACACTTTTGACAACTGGAAAATTTTAAAATTTTTATTTTAAAATTATGCGTAATAAACAAATAACAGAAATGACAATTGTATTGCATTTAAAAAAAAACGAAAAACTTAGGCACCCTCGATTTATGTGGTTCTTCTGTTAGACATATGTACATATTAAACAATTTGTGTTTTATATAACGCCTTTAAAAATAGTGTCCAAATCTTGACTGACGTGAAAAAATATTATATATCTTGAATTTTGAAAAAAAAAAGTAAAAAAAAATCTTTCATTGAATTGGCAGACAATTCAACAGACTAAAATATAACAACAGCCTTGAAATAAATAATTACAGGGACAAACAAAATTTGTAAATAGTTCAGACCCAGAGACCAAAGTAAAGGATGTAAGGATTACGCTGAATCCACATATGGACTCAAAATTTTAACAGAAGCGGATTCAACATTTTCAATAATTTAGAAAAATCCCATAAAAAATTATGTATTATAATTTTGAACCTTAATTTACATGTTTTCGATTTAAGCATATTTTCTTCTGTCCTTACAAACTTCGTAAACTGAGGGTTACTGATATTTGGCGTTTTACAACAT